TTGCGTAAGTAAAAGAAGCCAGTATGTAAAAGCTGCATGCTGTGTGGTTCATCAAGTGATACTGTACAGAGGGAAAAGTCACAGGAACAATACAAGTATCAGTTATGAAGGGGAACAGAATTTTGGAGCAATGAAACTATTGTGCAGAACACTGCAATTGTCTAAACATTTGCACACAGCACAGAGTGAATATCTATGTTTATTTAGTTAATATTGGTTCACTAAATATAACAGTATCACATTTACCATTTATTAGGAAAACCATGTATGGAGAGGAAAGACATGGAAACTCTCTACACTGTGAGTTTAATTTCTTATAGCTTTAAACAGTGTATCAACTGAAAACCTCAAAATGGCTGAATTTCTTTGTAACAATGGCATAAGGAAGACCATTGTTCAACTTAAAGCCCAAAGTCAAAAAACAAGATAAATTTGACCACACAATCTTAAGAAGACCACAGTGGCGAATTTCAAAAGAAATTCTGGAATTCTGCTTCCTTTACATAAGAGAAATGGCCTAGAAATCAAGTTTAAAACACAACAGAAGGCCAGTCAGAAAATATTAAGCAATATTTCAATTCTATGATGATCATTGCGCAAATACAAAGTGTATGACAAAGGAAAAAGCTGCTTGCTGAGCACAGGGTATTTTAGACTAATGGCTTTAACCCATAAAAACAGAATGACAAATTGAAAAAGCCTATTCCTTTTTCATGGCAGTTTACAAAGTACAGCCACGTTATCTGGCGCCGTCACTCAGTATTTAAATATCATTATTGGAGAATGTCATGCAACACTGTATTCCACAAGTCTTTTTATTATGTTCAAAGTGAGAATGAAGGAACTGCCTCCCTGATTTCTACTTCTTGACTTCCTTTCCTCCATTTCTTCTTCCCCTCAGTGGTTTTGGCCTCAATGTCCCCTCGATGGCCTGTGTCTGCGATGCCTCGCTGTCCTGTCAGAGGCTGCAGCTCTTGCAACTGCCTGAGACTGTTAGAGGACAGCCATCGTTGTCAATGGCTCTCCTTCCTTGTCTACTGCAGATGGTGACCAGCCTGGATCTGGGTAGTACGCATGGGCAGGATGAAGAAGAAGTCAAGCATTTGGTAGTTTTGCTGACCGTTACTGAATTAACTGTTGCTAAGCCCAGCTATTTTCTCATGGTGAGCATCAAGAAGAACACCACTCCTTTACTTCCCTACTTGTTACAGTGGCCACTCAGCAGTTTCTACACGTGCTAAAACTGGTCAGGTTCTGTGTTGGTTCAGCTGGACAATAAGCCCAAACCCAAAGTCATGGTGGAGACTTAATTAGGGCTGGATACTTAGTGGTAAAAACTTGCCGAAGCAAGTGCCCTGAGTTCAATCTCTACACACTAGTAAGGGGGCAAGAAAACAAAGGAAAAAGATTTTATTCACCTACTGTGACATACAGAAAGGGCCTAACTCCACAACGGTCTTGATTCTTTGTAACAATCAATAGCCAGGTGCACGTGGTGCAGACACAAGCACCACAAGCAATCGTTGCGTCTGCCAAAACTCTTCCAAAGGGCTCCTCCTTACGGCCTCTTCTGTGGTCCAGGGAGGCAGGGGTAACAAGCAAGTGTTAGGAGTGACTCAAAATGTCCAGAAAATAAAAATTTTAAAAAGCAGCTTTTATCAAGGGCCTCTGACAACAACCTCTTAACAGAAGTGCCTGGAAGGTGACTTAGCCGAGGTCTGAAATAAGGAGCCTCAAAAAGGGAAACATACATAGGAGGAACATTATATGGACCCAACAGGTTATATTTAGGAATATATACGTGTATATGAATATGTATATGCATGCGGCAACAATTAGTAAACAGAGAGAAAGAGAGATCATGAATTTAAAGGTGATCAGGGAAGGATGTATGGTAGGAGGAAAGGGAAGGGAGATATGTTGTAATTAAATTATAATCTCAAAAATAAACAACTGAAAAAAAGGTGGGTGCATGGGCCTGAATGCAGCGGCACATATTAGCCCAACTAGTCTAAAGTGAGCTCGTCAGCTGTGGATATGGGCCTGGGTACCTGAGTGTGAGGGTCATGAAAACTGCGCCAATAATAAAAGGTTTCTGAAAGCCAACAGCAACAAGTAATTCAAAACCAAACACCTAGCGGACCCAGGTGCTTCCGGGAGTACCTACCACTTCACGGCAGCCTCAGTGCAGAACACACGCTCTCCACTGAGACTGCCAGCACACCAGGCGATGCCAAAGCATGCTGACTGAACTGCCCGGGGGCACATTCAAGACTACGCTACAACCTGCCTTCTTCACGTGTCACACACACTCCAGCAAAACTCCTCTCTCCACACTATTTCCAACTCCATGTCTGTCACACATTTCCCCATTTTCCTCTTCATCAGGCATTTGCTCTTAAAGATGTATCACATCTGCTACTCTCTTCAGGAAGCCCACTCAGTAACTACCTACCCTCTACCTAGACGTGATTTGTCCCTTCCCTAGGCATCTATCAACCCTTGGGCATACACGCTTCTAGTGTTATACTTATCACATCATATCTTCTACATCTACCTCCATGAGAAAATACGAAGTTTCTCAAGAACAGAAGCCACGGCCTATTCGGCATCCCCAATGTCTAACAAATGTCTGGCATGTAGCAGGAACACGGTAAACAAATGACATGTGGAATTTGTGTTCTCTAAGTCAGCACTGGGAATGCACCACTCCCACAAAAGGACATCAACAATCTCCTCAGCCCAGTGCTTTGGGTGACCGGCTCCTCAGCATCCACAGCCTCTCCTGAGCTAGGACCTGACTGATTGAAAACTCTGGGCCATGAGGTGTCCAGTGTGGACCCACTCTGAAGTCTAGTGTCAGACTTGGATTCATACTTTAAGGAATGGCAATCTTAGTGCCCCCTATCCCTTAAGCAATCTTTTTCTTCACCCCTCTTTCTGGGTTCAAAACTGTTGTCAGCTATCTACTGGGGGATGAATAACAGCAAAACTGGTAGTTTCCTGAGAAGAGCAGCATTGTCTTCTGTTTTAGCTTTCTGTTGAACTGCATTCGACCCCTTTGGAATTCCTTCTTCACAAGGCCATCTTTCAGGATACAGCTCAGGACACTGTAAGACTCTCTTTATATTCAATGTCCAGAACTAGAAAGTCTACAGAGACAAAGTATAAGGGGGGCCTGTTAGGGGTGGGACACAGGGAAATGGGAGACAATGAGCCAGGGTTCTTTTTAAAGTGAGAAAAACTGAAATTGATCATGGTGATGGTTGTATATATCAGTAAATATACTAAAAACCACTGAGCTGTAGACTTGAACAGTCTATTAATTATATCTCAATAAACTATTTCCTAAAAAGAAAAAGGTCATCTTTCACCTATTAACTGGCCTTAGGGCTTGTCCTAGCTAGTTTTATGTTAACTTGACACAAGGTAGGGTTATCTGAAGGAAGGGAAACTCAATTGAGAAAATGACTTCATAAGATCTGGCCCAGGTAAGCTTGGATCCCAGGCCAGAAGGTTCCGTGCCAGGGAACTGAGTCATCCTCACAAAACTCCCATCACAGACTCTTTGGCACTGACTGAGCAGGCCCATCCGCAAACTCCAGAAAAGTCAGGCTAGCGTGAGAAGGAGACGAGGTACTTTTAAAATCCTAGGGGAAACAGCAAAGCTGAGTATCTACCTGCAACCACCTACCACCTGGAGCGGAGGGTATCCTGGGGTGCATACACTAATGTGTGTGTGTGTGTGTCCTGAGAGGCATTCAATGATACTGGGTGTGTGTATGTGTCCTGAAATGCATACACTGACACCTAGATGGGTGTGTGTGTGCGTGTGTGTCCCCTGAGATGCATACACTGACACCTAGATGGGTGTGTGTGTGTGTGTGTGTGTCCCCTGAGATGCATACACTGATACCTAGATGGGTGTGTGTGCGTGTGTGTGTCCCCTGAGATGCATACACTGACACCTAGATGGGTGTGTGTGTGTGTGTGTGTGTGTCCCCTGAGATGCATACACTGACACCTAGATGTGTGTGTGTGTGTGTGTGTGTGTGTGTGTGTGTGTGTGTGTGTGTCCCCTGAGATGCACACACTGACACCTAGATGGGTGTGTGTGTGTGTGTGTGTGTGTCCCCTGAGATGCATACACTGACACCTAGATGGGTGTGTGTGTGTGTGTGTGTCCCCTGAGATGCATACACTGACACCTAGATGGGTGTGTGTGTGTGTGTGTGTCCCCTGAGATGCATACACTGACACCTAGATGGGTGTGTGTGTGTTCTGAGATGCACACACTGACACCTGGATGGGTGTTTGTGCGTATGTGTGTCCCGAGATGCATACACTAACACCCAGTGTGTCCTGAGATGCATACAATGACACCCAGGTGTGTGTGTCTGTGTGTGTGTGTCCCCTGAGGTGCACACACTGACTGACACCCATCTCTAGAGTGGTGTGCTTCAGAGGTGGGGCTTTGAGGAAAGATTCGATCATGAAAGTGGGTCCGTAATGGATGAAATTAATAGCCTCATAAAAGAAACCTCAGATATCCAGGTTCCTCTGCTCTGAGAGGACATGGGGAGAACAAAGCCTTCTAAGAGGTGCAGACCCTCATCTGACATCAAATCAGCCAGTAATCTGACACTGGACTTCCAGCCTCCAAAACTGTGAAAAGTAAAATTCTGCTTTCTACACCACCTGGCCTGTGGATTTTGTTACAGCGGCCCAGACAGAATAAGATATCTAGTACATACTCATTGCACTAACAAACCAAAAAGCAACTGTATGATCATTGGGTCCCATTAAGAAAATCCTCCAAACAGAGCGTGTATTCCTGTGTTTATTGTCAATGAAAAAAATGTTAGACCCTTGAGATGATAAACCAGTGATGTGTATGAAACCTATGCCTATAAATAGGTTAAAACTCCAAAATATCTTCAATGACTGTGGTTCTCAAAAGTGAGCTCACCAATAAGCAAGTGAGTGTCCCCTGTACTTACAAGAGAACATGGGCGACGATGGCATTCACGTCAAACAAGGTGTCCGTGGGGAATTCCCTGAGCAGTATGTTGCCTCTAGAAAGGGTTTGAAGAACACGTTACTGAAGTACCTCCTCACACTCCAATTTGCTTAGGTATCTAATATTAAGTTCTTGGATGTGAGAGCCTATGTCTTGTCTGTGTACCTCATACACCTCTCAGGCTGTTGGTACATAATATTCTCAAGTATATACCAGGGATACACTCACGTACGTTCATCTTGAAAAGTTTAGGACCTGTACTTGGCAAAATAATAGTAGTAATAATAATTATAGGAAACAAATATAAATCGAAAAGATACATCCTAATAACACTCCATCACATGCAGATTTCCAAATTGGCTTGGGAAGGAAACAAGGATGTGAGAGAAGAGTTTCCTGAGCAAACAGGCTCTCTCTACTTCCTAGGCCACCTCTGCAGGATAAGATGGCAGACTCAGCCGTAGGGGAACCGATACTCAGACCCCAGCGGATGGATCCTTCACGAGGAAAGGGTCAATGGATGGATCCCTCACGAGGAAAGGGTTCCCAACATGGAGCTCACAGAGCCACACAGAACCATCAATCTGCTGTGCCTCCCGCCTGACATTCTAGTAGGAATTTACAGAAGACTCTCAGGGAATACTGGATTACTCTCCAGTTTTTGTAAAGAAGAAAATTAAAGCGCAGAATGGTTAACGACAAATCTATTCCTAGGATTTCTACTAAACTTCCTAAGTCCCCACTAAAGACCACGTTACTCTGGCTCAGTGATGTGCTATGTGCTCTTAAATAGTCTAAAACGATCGCTCTGCATTAGTATGTCACACTGCCAGGGGAGCTTACCTGAATAAATACGCTTTCATCAAACCCTCTTCTTTCCCACAGTACCTTGACGCTTCTTCCTGGACACAGTTAACCTGTAAAAGATTATATTCGGGGTTTAAGGTATGCGTCGCAGGGTCAAGTTTCACGGTTAGGAAGACAAGGAGATGAAACATTACCACCTGTCTCCAGGCTAAAGTCTGCCTCTCGCTTTTCCTGACTCAATGCTTTCACTGCTCACACAGGTGCTCGAGGAAACCACAGAAAGGAACCATACCGTTCTCTGCTACTCAAAATGATACTTAATTTTCCACAAGTTTACATTTAACTCAAATCCTCAAAGCAATCAGGAGGTAAGGAGGTGAAACAGGAAGGGAACGCTTACGACAAGATAACCACGCAAGAAAACCAAAAAGCAGAGGCTTAGGGTGGGGCTCGGAGGTAGAGTGAGTGCCTAGCAGAGAGAACCTAAGCTGGGTCTATGACAGCAACTCTGCACCTGCGCACAAGTGTGGCCCGTAACCAAGTCCATCAACCCCTCTACTTTTATTAACAGAACCACGCTTCAAAAAAAAAAATAAAGTGTTATATTAAAAAGCTTTTTTAGCCTCCACAGCGGGTCAGGATGGCCACAGGGTACACGTGGCACCAGGAGATGTCACTGTGTGAGAATTCACCGACAGGTCTCAAAAGGAGACTGACAGCTTCTCTCTCAATAAGAATACTAGAGTACCAGTGGCGATCACAAGCACGGGCACCTTTACACCATTCGCTAAAATGGTACAATGGAAAGATAAACCAAGTGTCCGGTGTTAGAGCAGCCACACCAAGCCCAGACAGCTCACAAGCCAGACTTCTATGAGGAAATGTCGGAGACCAGCCATGAAAATAAGACAGAAGGTAAGAGGGTACAAAATAAGGAGGCAGGAATGTAAGTACAGCTCAAGGACTGGGACCTGGAGGGAAGCCATGGGAACTTAAGAGGCTGGTCATGAATGGAATACTATGAAGAGTGACTGTGTGCACGCACAACCACACAGAAGCAAGCCATGAGGAGAGAGCACACATTCCCAGCTAGGGGGACAAACGGCCACCAATGTAACTAACCTAAACAAAGGCTGGAGGGGCGGGTCATTTTGTCCTGAATTTGGTTAAGGGTTCTGTTTGCTTTGATGGAGTGGGGTTTTTGTTCTTGCTAGCTTAATTTATTTATGCAGAATTTGAGGAAACGGAATGAAATCTGTTTGTTAAAAAAAATTATAAAAGGGGAACTGACAGGAAAGATATAAGGAACAGAAAATGAGAATTAAGTCAGCTACAGCAAAAAGAACTTTAGTGTACATAAGTTTTTAACTTTCTAGTCCAAAGAAAAGGAATGCTTGATGTTATGACAAGAGATCCATGTACTCATTCACGATAGTCTGAAGAGCTACCATTATGTTAGTCCCAGGGGATACAGTTAAGTCCCAAATGAAAAACTTTATTTTGAACTTACATTTTAAAAGTATAAACATTAAGCAATCAATATATAAAGCTAAGTATCATACATAAAAAGAGTAAAGGGACAGAATACAGCGGACCATTTGAGACAGATAACCCAGGAGGGCTTCTCTGAGGAGGTGACCTTGGCACTAAGAACAGACGGGAGACACACACATATATGAATGTGTGAATGAGGTGAAAATACCTGCAAAGGTCCTGTGGTAATGGCACCTTTGGCAGGCCCGGGGAGCAGAAAGATGAACTGTGTGCTTCAGAAACGTGAGGAAGGTGGGGGACCGCACATGAACCCCAGACAAGGCGGTCTGTTTCTGTGACACTCAGGGCTTCAACTGACTGTGAGTGTCATGGAAGTCTCTCTGTCATCTGACAGACCTGCTCACACACAGAGAAGAGTCTGTCGTGGGATAAGACAGGAAACAGCCAGTGACTAGCCGTGGTCCCTCGGTGGCATGATGACCAGAGTGAAGCGCGAGAGCAGCCAAGTTTGAAAAGTTCTGAAACCAGAACCTCGGGGTCCATGGAATGGTTATGAGAGGAGGGAACGTCAAAGATGGACTAAAGGGCTTTCGTTTGCTTTAAAAAACAACTTGATACAAAACCTAATTTTGGTTATCATCTGTATAATGTATCCTTTTTTTCTTCATTTACCTTAAAAATTGTCTGAAGCCTTTAGACACATTTTTAAATAGCGTAAAGTTGGACTTGGTTACTGTGCCCAACTGGAGAATATTTCTCTTAACCGGAATATTTAGCCCACTTATAGTTTAGCTCCACCCAGCCTGGAGGAGCTACTGGCAACTAACGGTGGCCAAGGGAGGCAATCGCTTCCTTCAGTGGGGTAACCACTATAAGATGCACCATTAACAAAAAAAAAAAAAAAAAGATGCACCATTAAATAAGCCCTGACTCATCATTCAAGCAAGCTAACTAAACTCAGTGCACACGCGCACACACACATACACACATACATGCACGCACGCACGCACGCACACAGGCCCAAAGATATCTGTATTTTGGTGATTTCTTCATCTATCTGTCTCTGTCAATCTTAATTTTTGAGGATACTGTCAAATGCTACTCCTCTCCAATACTACTGTGACTTTCTCTCAGCACTTAGAAATAGGCCTTCATTTCTTTAACACGGGACTGGATAGATAGAGCCCTTATTATAATGATTATATTCCTCTTGATACTAAGATGATCTGTGAATGTGATGTATTCACAGATTCACAATATATCCCATATTCACAATATATCCTTTCCAAAGAAAAGGACTAGGTCTTGGTCATCTAAAGAACACTCAATACAGTAAACTCATTTCACTGTCATAAATATTTATAGTTTCTTACGTGGCAAGGACTGAGGCAAATGTTCGGGATGGGTCTGTGATTTACCATCTTCTCTCGGGAAACCTCAGTGTTCTCAACCATGAACACCAAAAGTTGTAAGTTATATCAGTAAGTAAGTGCAGTCTAGGCACAGATTCTAAGATTCTCCTCCAGTCACAGAATTCTAGGCTCTTCTCTCCCTGACCACATAAACAGCACAGTTGTGCCCGAGCATCATGTAATGACTATTTCATTTCTAAAGTTTACTCATTTTTATGTCCATGAGTGTCTGCATACATGTATGTGTACCACATGTATGCCTGGTGATGGTAGAAGCCAAAACAGGGCATCAGATGCCCTGGAACTGGAGTTACAGATGGTTGTGAGCTGCCACGCAGGTATTGGGAACTGAATTGGGTCCAACGCAAGAGCAGCTGGTGCTCCTAACCACTGGGCATCTCTAGCCCACCACTTCTGAATTTTTGTTTAAATTTCTACCCAGAGTTCATGAGAGGTGAGTGCTGGGAACATTCTAGAACAGACTCAGTGAGTGAACCGAGCGTCTCCACAGAAAGAACTGACACACCCCGGAGATGTAGTTTGTAGTATGACTGGTTTTTATAAGGTGCCTAGACTGTCCTAACTGCCTGTAGGGACTCTACTGCAGACACTAAGAGGGACAGCAGTCATTCTGGGAGGTGGTAGCTGAACCAAGAACAAATAAATGTATGAGAAAGCCAGCAGACACTAATCTGAAAGAAGGACCATCACTGAAGACTTCTCACGTAAATTAAAAGTAAATTGAAGTCTTAGATGTTACCCAATCCGATACACGTGGAAACTGTCCATAAAACTCCATGGTAAATTTGAACATTTTTTTGGAAAAAAAAATTGTATTTTCAAAGTGACTTGTTTTGATTTATTCTAAAAAATGTCCAATTTATAGCATAAACAATTATAAAAACAGAAAGTCAAAAAAATTTTAATCATCTTCATTTTTTTCCCTTCCATTTATACTAATAGAAATTTAATAAACAGCCAAATTGTGGCTGTTGTGAAATATTGGTAGGACAAAAGAGAACAAAACCTTACCATGGGCCTGAAAACACCCTGAGAGAATAGGTTATGAAACGCAGCTCAGTTCTCACGCTGGGGGACTTAGCCAGCTCCTTTCTCTCCATGCACTGTTACATAATCGTCTGAAGCTAGCTTTCTGTGCTTAGGTAAAAAGCAAGAAAAAAAAAAAACCAAAACAAAAAACATTATTTTCTCAGTTTGGAAAAAGGTCTGAAGCTCATGTGTTTTTAGATTGCAGTCTTTTTTTTTTGGTTTTTCGAGACAGGGTATCTCAGAACCTTTCCTGGATCTCTCTCTGTAGACCAGGCTGGCCTCGAACTCACAGAGATCCTCCTGGCTCTGCCTCCCAGTGCTGGGATTAAAGGCGTGCGCCACCACCGCCCGGCTAGATTGCAGTCTTAGGTCATACTATTATAAATGTCTGTCACTGATACTAACATAAATGTTGGTCTACCTTTGAGACGGAAATCCCATAGTCCTGGAGAGGCCTAACGGCTTCTTTTAGTTCTTCAAGAAACACAGAGTTACTTAGCGAACCTAAAACAAGAATGTTGAATGAATATTTGTGAATCTGCTCTTCTAAAAGATGAATATTTAAAATTAAAGGTAAAATCTGAACATACAAAAATTATGTGACTAGCCTTCAAAACAACAAGATTACATCCAGCCACATGTTTTCCTATTGTTTCTTTATTCTTATATCTATTATCACAATATAATTTTGTAAATTACCTTAAAAACTTCTTATTTAAAGCATATGATAAAAAAAATAAGTTCAAGCTGGGTGGTGGTGGCATATACCTTTAATCCCAGCACTTGGGAGGCAGAGTGAGTTCTCTGTGAGTTCGAGGCCAGCCTGGTCTACAGAATGTGTTCCAGGGCTAGACAAAAAAAAAAACCCTATCTCAAAAAACAAGCAAACAAACAAAAAAAGTTTAAATCTAATGTGGTATTATTCCTCCAAGTTTAACACTGTATATACAGTTCTTACACACACATACAAAACTTTCAAAATGACTTTAAAGTCCCAAATCACAATTCGAATTAAAGAATAACTAGAGATGTGAAGTCATTTTGGTAATTCCAATACAACTGCACTGTTACTGGCATAAAGACTTACATGACACCATCACAATTCTGTTCAATAGTCATGTTAATTAATACAGTATAATTAATGACATGGCCAAAGCAGAATACAGAATATTAAGCTAAACCATTGCTAAAAGCACATATCCAGTTTTTATAAAACTGTAAAAATAGCTACATGTAAAGAAAAAGAGTAAGAAAGTATTCTTCCAGAAATGACTACATGAACTCCAGATGAAGTGAGCGCATAAGTAAACCCATTTAATCCCCATACTAAACTCAGAAGGCAATCACCACTGCATCATAGCCAGTGAGGAAAGAGAACAGCTAAGGTGTTTGGATGCTTCCAAGCAGGCGGATCACAGAAACAGCGCTACAGAGCACACTGTTACAACTGATAGAAGTTCCTGCTGAGCGCAGTGATGACAGGGAAATAAATATCACAAGAGCCACGTAAGAATTTTAAAAGATACTTACCAACTTGACAGAAATAAGCTAAAGAGGCTTTTCCTGGCTGCAGCGTGCTGAAATATTGCTGAGGACTCAGTTCGGGGAGAGAGTCTTCAGTTGACTTGTAAAAACTGCACATCAAAACGATTGCGACCCCAGCTCCGTATACAGTGAAGCCAGAAGACATCGCGAGCTGTAGCCGGATGGATAGATGCGCCAGGAGACGAGTCTGCTTTCTTCCCTGCTGTGTTCTACTGCCTGATGCGATACCTGGCACAGAGTAGGAGATCCGCAAAGCTCTGTTAGGTGAATTTGTTGAATGAAAGGAGCTAAAGACACCAGATGAATAGTTAAATCACTACATTACTTGATTTTGCTAGAACTTTCTTTCTAGTAAGAAACTCTGATGGGGAATGGTATATAAGGATACTGAATGGATAGTACTTTCATTTCATTTTATATTTTCACAGAGCTGGGGATTATGTAGTTTAAGGAAGTACTATATCACTACGCCAGCTACATTCCTAGGCCTTTTGTGTTTGGTTTTTGAGACAAGGTTCTAGTTTGTAACCCGGCTTGCCTCAAACTCACAGCGCCCCAGTTACTGCCTTTTGAGAGCTTGGATTACAGCCATTCAATACCATACTCAGCTTAATTTTTGATAATTGCAAAAGAAATCTAGGATATCTACAAAATGCTTAAGTTTCACAGATATTTACTGCAGTATGTTAAGCTGGCATTTTTGAACATTCTAAATTAATTTAAAATATTATCCAATCCTTTATTTTTTTTTAATTTCCTGTGTTAGACAATGAACTCGAAGCCTTGTACAAGCTAGGCAAGCACTCTTCCGCTGATCTTTAGCCCCAGCTGTCTACTCGGAAGTCAAGGTATCACTCAGCTGTCCAAGCTGGCTTTGAACTTACAATCTTCCTGCCCCAGCCTCCTGAGCAGCTGGGAGTACAGGCCTATACCACCAAGCCTGGCTCTGCTCATTTTTAAAATTGGACATTTTGTTTGACCTATTCACAGCTAATGTACAACAAATACTCCAACAGCTGCTGAACACCATTTGGCTGGAAAGGAGTCATCACAAAGTCTGCTATGGGTTTACTACCTTTTAAATGTCCTGCAAGAGATCTACTCACATTACGCAAGAACATTCTTTCTGAACATATGCCTCCTTTAATTCTTAGGACATCCTATCTCACACTGCTTATATACACGGAAACGTTTCTCAACTGACTAGAACCCGGTCTGGTCCAGCCAGCCTCCTGGCCTTCCTTGATGTATTCATTACTCTCCCCTTGTCCTGAAGTCACTCATGTCTGCTGTTCTGCAGTTTTGTTTTGTTTTTTTCTTAAACAAGTCCAAGAGTTCTTCTACTGATGATCTATACTGTCAAAGTTTAAAAGACAGCTTAGACAAGCACTTTACCACAGAGCTATACTCCCAGCCTCTAGGGAAATTAAGATAATATAAAACTACCATATTTCCAAGGAGCAAAAGTACACTCACAGGTATAAGTGAGAATTTTCATCTTTTAATCTGAAGTAGGACCGCTATACTTCAAATACAAGATGATTACTTTAAAATAGGTAATGAAAACAGCAAAAATTATTTCTATATACTCCTAAGAGTAAGGGCAGAATTTTTCAGCAAAGAATAAGGTGATAACTTTATGAAGAAATCCTAAATCACTGGCTACATGCTCCATTCATCCAAGATTATCAACAAGACATTTCTCCCTAGAGAGCAGATGCTGTTGAAAAAAAATGAGACTAATGATTCATGAATTACTTAATACTTCTGAAATTCATTAGAACATGTTACTATCACTGAACAGATTTGCCTTCAGTTTTTAATTCTGAGTTAAGTGTTAAAAGCTCAAAGTAAAATGAGTGACAGCTGTATATAAAAATGTAACCTTAACAATACCTAATTAAAAGGTATCCTCAGCATTAAAATTAATTATACATTCTAGCCATTGTAAGCAACCCATTTCATGGCTGCTTTATATTAATGGGAACATTTTAAAATAGGTCAACCACTATTTTTTTTGTATTCTGGAGGAAACCACATGTATTTCTGTGGCTAAGGGAATACCTATCGAGCATTCATTCCTATATGAAATAACAATAACCTACTTAAACTGCAAAGTATTAGGTTAAATTACAACTGGAAGATCAAGCATCAATTATTTCCTTGTCTTGAGGCTACAACTCAATTACTTTAGCCTAATTTAGACATTAGAGTTGGGACGTGGTTTCTCTCCCCCTAGACACGCTTTTCAGCTCTGAAGGTTTGACTGTACATCAAAGCAAACTTTGGATGCCTTTTATCTAACTGGACAGATGAGGTCACATGACTGTGCAATCAGTTAGGGACCAGAGAAAGGACTGTATCAGTCATCCCCATCATTCCACCTTGGATAATATTTGACTATTTAAAAATTACGTAAAGCATAGAGTGTGTTGGGTCCACTAATGGAATGGATGGTGAGGAGACACAAAGGAAGTACAAAGGGTGAGAACGGGGACAGAAGGCTTAATATATTTCGAAACACCAAGAGCAAAAGCTATTGAAAATAGTTGTCAATGTCAAGACACATAATTACCAATTGAGAGCAATTATCTCTACAGAAAAGAAAAGTGAGGCAAGGATAGACATCAAGGCAACTTTCGAAGCCCACAAAACCATTCTTTTTTTTTCTTTTTTTCCTTTTCTTAGCTTTTTCAGACATGGGCTTACCACGTAACCTCGCTTGGCTTCATGGTGATCCTCTGGCCTCAGCCTCCAGAGTGCTGGGATTATAAGCAGGAGCTGTAATCATACCTAGCTCTCACACTTCCTTAACTAAATCACCACATTTTTATTCTAAAAGTTATTATTTAGACACTCCTCTTTCTTCAGATCTTACAGTCTTTCACCTTTTTTTTTTTTTGCATGTAAATAAACTTCCATAGCTTCTATTTTCTAATCTACCCTGTCCAGCTACAAAAGAATGGACAAACCCATCGTGAAAAATAAAAAGTACTTGCTCAGAGTCTTGCCCTCCTTACACAAAGATCTTTAAACTACAGGACAGAGAATGTGGGTGGAAAGACTATCAGCAATCATAGAGTGAAAACAAAGATATGGAGGATACTGAGTGACGGCCTCCCTCCCCAGTAACTAGAAAGGGTACTAAAAGCAGCGCTTGAGACTTCAAAACTCTCCACACCTACATAAATTGATGAGAACCATGGGAGAAACGTGACCTGGCTCCTTGGGTGCGGCAGACCCTAGATTCCTGCCTCTTCCCGGGTGTAAGGCAGGCTTCACTGAGCCTCCTCATTCCACCTCCGATGAAGTTGTTTATGACAACCATGTGATTTCACTGTGGGGAGGGGAGGTAAGAAAAAAAGGAATATCAGGTGACAATTTCAACAGCCAGCACATGGCAGGCAGACTTTATTTCCTTCTATCAAAGTCACCAGGGATGCTCAAAATGGTAGCTATCTTGTTCACGTGAACACAACACAGAGAAACCCTAGCTAGTGTGTCAGGAGCTCAAGGAAGAAATCTTGTAAAACTTTAAGACGTCAAGATTTGAGGAGCTACTTTTGCATCATAAACTGGTCCACGTCCATTGGCACACAAGCTAAAAACGAGCAGCTTCCTCAAACACTGGCTAGGAGATCAAGCAGAACTCAAAACTAGTCTGGGCAGAAAAGGTTTATCAGACACTAATGGTCAATGAATGAGACACAACAAGTTGATAAAGTTGCGGCTACAGTAATCTGGAGACGAGACGTACCTAAGAAACCTAAATGGGTGTGTGTACCAAGATTCTTGCAGCTAATGAGCTTATTTCAAGCACTCAGAGAAGGGGCTTGAAACCAGAATGTCCACACTGAATAGTAGCTGCTGTTGGTTACATGTGACAAGGTATGCAAGCACCAGCCAAGACAGGCAATGTACAAACATAAATCATAACGTAGACCCGCACTTTTCCATGCTCCAAGAAGCTTGCTGATCAAACCACTCAGCCTCAAAAAGAGGCCATATGCTGCAAAGCCAGTTTGAGATGTGGCCAAGATAGGGATAAAACTCTCAGTTTGTCTCCCTCTCATAGGACCATGGAGAACGACGCTCTAGGGCGTGCAGAATGAGAACTGCTTGCTGCTGATCTGTAATGATCAGTGCTGTGTACGCAGGTTCTCTGAAGAAACTGCACCTGCATAAAGACCCTGCAGCGGGCTTGAGTAGAACTTCATGAAAGGCGGATCATTCTAAGAACCCACATCATCTTGCACTACCTCCTGCCCCTTTCCATCACCACTTACAATCCACCTTTGTAATCTGGCTTAACATCTTTAACGTTTGGAATGAAGACAGCCTCCACCAACCCTAAAACTAACGAGATAAAACATCTAAATGCTACCGAGTCCCCTGCCTCCTTATAGCTCACCTGATAGCCCTACCCTAATACCACTGTATAAACACACTTGTGGCATTTTCCATTTTATCATTATTGTATGTGCATGTGCATGATTGTATACACATGGGTGGTGACAATATCTGCTGCCTGGTAAACTACTGGCCCAGAATGTGGAGTACAATATAGATCTTAAACCCCTATGCAACATGCACTTGCTGAGTGGAGAACGGGGAAACAACACTCTTCTCAGGTAGAGCATAGGAAAGGGGGTACTTAGGAAAGGCTGGGTTTTGGAGGCTCCGGTAAATAACTGTCTTCGAGAACACTGAATCTGTGATGAGATGGTCACCCTGAGAACACAGGATTCCCTCTTAATCTTGCATCACTTTAACTGATTTGCTACCAAATACAAAAAAAAAGGGAGGGGGGTAAATGAATTTCATGTAGTGGCCCAATATACAGTCGTTTCTCACTTATTTAACGCGCTAATATAACGTTTAATTTTTTGTACCTCTGGGTTTCAAATGAAGACAGCACCACCCGCTCCTACACACAAGACTAATACAAGTGGAATGTCACTCTAATTCTTCCATTCTGGACAATCGCCAAAGTGTTACTGTTTCTCCCCCACACACACACACCCGCCCCAAATTTTATGCCAAGTACACTTTTCCAAATTGCAGATTTCAAAGAACCACCTTCCCCTTGCAGAAGGCCTTCACATTCATCTAGTCCCAGTACCACCCGTGCTTAAGGGCCACTTCCCAAGGGATTACTTACAGTTTCAGCTCACGCTTTACTTTATTCACTCCCCTCGCCTCGTGCTTCCTCCTACTCATCCAGAAAAAGAAAATAATAATAATAATAATAAATCAATCACTCAAAACCAGGGTCCTTCGGCGCCCCAGAAACAGGTGTGCTGAATCAGAAGCGGGAGCTCCGCACGCAGCCTTGCTTAGAGGAACGCAGCCGGATGCGGACGTGCATGCAATCCTGCAGGCAGAATCTCGAGGCCCGCTGCCACCCACCTGTCGGAGACTGCTCGCAGGACCTGCGTGCAATGAACTGATCGGTCTCTGAGGACAACACTTCCCGCCACCCAAGAGGAGGCGGAGCCAGAAGGCGGGGCAGCGGCTGGTTCCCAAGGCAGCCCGCAAACGACTACGCCTACCAGAAAGAGCTCGCCGCCCACGGACGCCCCTTCCTCCGCAAAATCATTCTCCTGGGGGTGGGGGGGAACAACCCCCGAGGCTCCGCCTTCTCCTCGTGCTCCTTACGTAAGAGATCCTCCAACCAATGGAAGGATCGACCGGGCGGAGCAAGAGCAAGCCTAGGTGACAGAATCTGGAATCCTCCCGCCGGCGCGAGCTGGTCTTGCAGTTGCTGGGCCAATCAGCAGCGTGGGTGGGGAGAGGGGCGGGGAAAAAGAGGGAGGGCGGCAGGAGCCCAATCAGATCGAAGCATCCTGGAGTGACGGGTTCTGAGGCCCGTGGCCTTCCGAGTGCGGGGCCCAGAGGGCGTGCCCACCCGGGCCAATCGCCGGCAGCCCACGGTGCGGAGCGAGCGCCTCAAATGCTCGGCTTTCTCAGCTGATTGTCTCCAGCCGAGAGTTGTTTTCTGCCGCTGCGGAGCCGAGCCGCGGCAGGAGGAGCCGAGCCCCCCCGGGGGGGGGAGGGGGAGGCGGGCCCGAGGGCAGCCGCGGCCAGCGCGCGGGGCTTGCGAGTCCTGCAGGGCACGGCGCTGCCCGGGGCCGCAGGCTGGGGCGGGCGGGAGGTCCGGGGAGGGCGCTTGGGCTGCTTCCTTCCCGCGCTCCCTCGCCGCTGCTCGCGTCCCCTGATGAGGGTGTCAGTGCCGGGGCCGGCGGCCGCCGCGGTCCCCACGGCTGGCCGCGAACCCTCGACGCCCGGCGGGGGCGCCGTCGCGGCCTCGGGGACCGCGGTGCCCGGTTCGGTGCAGCTGGCGCTGAGCGTGCTGCACGCGCTGCTTTACGCAGCGCTCTTCGCCTTTGCCTACCTGCAGCTCTGGCGGCTGCTCCTGTACCGCGAGCGGCGGCTCAGCTACCAGAGCCTCTGCCTCTTCCTCTGTCTCGCGTGGGCAGCGCTCCGGACCACGCTCTTCTCGGCCGCCTTCTCCCTCAGCGGCTCGCTGCCCGTGCTGCGGCCGCCCTCGCGCCTCCACTTCTTCCCGCACTGGCTGCTCTACTGCTTCCCCTCCTGCCTCCAGTTCTCCACGCTCTGTCTCCTCAACCTCTACCTGGCAGAGGTAAGGCGGGAGGACCGGCGTGCGGGGGAGCGGGGCCGCCGGGATCCACTCCCGCCGACACCGACGGGGAGTGGGGGGGCCGGAGGGGGGGAGATCTGGGGGGAAGGTGGTGGCGGGAGAGCAGCCTGGGGACACTGAGGCACTCCGGTCTTTCCCTCTCCCTCAACTTAAGCCGCTGATGGACTCGGCGCCTGAGAGGGTTGGAGAAGTGTGAGAGAGTATGCGTGCCCCGACAACTTAAGACTGTGGGACACCCTTTGTTCAGTGTTCCAGACCTCCACGGTAAGGCGTTGGTGGCGACCACAGAGCGGCATCGTAAGAAGTCACAAGCTCCCGTCGCTCGGCCGGGGCTGGACCGGGTTGAGGGAGGTTGGATGCTGAGGAGGTAGCGGCAGCTCTGCCGGAGCTGGACCGCTGCCAGCCATTACGTCACCAGGCAGAGCTGCTCCTCCGCTATTGTTGCTGCGTTTCTTTTATTAGAAGCTTATATCCCCCCCACTCCCCCCCCACCCGCACATACACACACCTCCTTAACTGTGGCTCGATACACCTTATACAAATTCTGATCGATCGCTTCCCTGGCGGGGTGAACGATCAATAACCAATGCTGCGGGACAGTCGAAGGACCTCCATAAAGCCCTTAATGTTTGTCCCAGTTGCTGCTTGCTTTGGCGATTCAGCCGGTCTCTTACAGCAAAGCCCTTTGGTGGGAAGCTAATTAGAAGAAACAAGCTTAACCTATGCCTGTTGCAGACACAAACCACGGAACTGGGTTTTTTTTGTTTTGTTTTGTTTTGTTTTTCAACAACTTGCTTAATAGCCTGAGTCTAATCACACCCCCTTTCTCTTTTACCGGGAATTGCTGGTTGGATTGCATTGTTCTGCAGCGCTTAAGTATTTGACCCATTTCAGACAGGTTTGGGGTGTAAGGCTGTCAGTCATGTATATCAGTGGTATTTAAGCCTTAGTGTTTTCAGGCTTACCCCCTAAAAGTCTTCCTTTCCCTCAAAATAAAAGCTTAGGAGGGGAGGAAAAAGGTGACATCATACACTTAATACTGATTAATATAGTATTGGTCTATGCAGCTAATCCTCTCAAAGGCTTTTGGAGGTGATAACAGTCTCAAGGAAAAGTTACAAAAAAAGGGCACTTTTGAATCAGATTAAGTATTTATATTTGCAACATAAACCAACTCTTTTCCACCCTTAATAAGAAAACAATGCATCATTTTAAAATCACAGTTACAATTTCAGCTATTCACCATACTAAAAACTACTTTTATTCTCCATCCTTTGGAAGGCCACACAATATACAAAAACCCAACCCTTAAGAAGCATGAGTAAAAAGCAGATGTAATTATAAATCAAATAAACATGCTATAATGATGTCATTTATTTGAAGATGGTTCTTATCATCGAGTTGCTTAAGCTATCATAACACTTATTTATAGATGAGCTAATACTGAGATCTTGACACCACTTCTAATAGAACATTAATAATTTCCCATCATTGAAACTTTACTTTAGCTTCAGATGTAGTTAACCTACCTGAAAATGACTAGAAGTCCATTTGTTCGGAGCATCAGATACCTTGTATGTCTGCCTCCCACCCTCCACATGTCTTGACGTAAATTATATATGTGGTTCATTGGGCCTTTCCAAGTGGCTAACCACCCTTTTCACTTGAGATGTAACACGTAAAGTACACAATTGTAAACAAGCAACTAGATAAGAGTTTAGATATGGATACATCCAAGTTCCCACCAGCCTGAGTTAGATAGATACCTTGGATGTCTTAAGGCAATATTTCTCGACCTGTGGGTTAAGACCCCTCTGGGGTTCAAACTACCCTTTCACAGGAGTCACTTAAGACCATCAGAAAACATAGATACTTACATTATGATTCATAACGATAGCAAAAATTACAGTTACTAAGTAGCAGTGACAATAATTTTATGGTTGGTGGTAACCACAACATGAGGAATAGCATTACAGGGTCACAGCATAAGGAAGGTTGAAAACCACTCCTTAAGGGTTCGCTTGTATCTTCTACCAGCTAGTACCTCCCACTCAAAGGCAAATAAAGTGGCCAAAACATTACAGTAGGAAAAATATCAACTATATTTAAGTGCAAAATTCTAAAAACTGTACTTCTAGAACAAAGAAATACAGAGTATCTAGATAGAATTTTCATATTTTTTATCTTGATATTACAAGTAAGGAAACATTAAAGTCTGAAAGTCTTATTAAATGAATCACTTATAACCAGGCATGGTGGCCCATGTCCTTAATCCCAGCACTCAGGAGGCAGAGACACGTGGATCTCCATGAGTTTGAGGCAAGCATGGTCTACAAAGCAAGTTCTAAGACAGCCAGGCTGTTACAACACAAAAGAAACCCTGTCATCAAAAAGAACAACAACAAAGTATCACTTGTTTCTGTGATACACTTTTTGAAGAAAAAAAACACCAAACTTCTCTAGAAAACATAATTTTCAAAATATTGTACTAAAGCTTTTTTGCTATTTGTCTGCCTTTTATAATAAAACTAAGAATTTTAGGACACACAATACTACTTAAATAAATTTCATCCTTTTTTTAAAACCTGCTTTAAAATATACAATTTAATCAGAATGTATTTCCCAATTCATTACCAAAACAAAACAAAACCCACCTCATAGGTATCTATACTTTGAAATCAGATATAGTGGTTCATACCTATAATCCTAGCACTCAGGAGGCTGAGGCAGAAAAATGCCCTGACTTTGAGGCCAGCCTAAACTACATAGTTCTAAGACACTATGGCTTATATAGCAAAAGGTAAATATGTTAGCGCACAGTTGTAATCCTTGCATCTAGATGGCAGAGGGAGGAGGAGGTTCTCTATTTGCACATTGCAAGACCTTGCCTCAAAAATAAAGCAGTAAGATTGAATTTGTTTTTCTTGTGGGGTGTTTTTTGTTTTGTTTCGTTTTTTTTGGGGGGGGGGTCCTTTGTTTTTTTGGTTTTTGTTTTGTTTTGTTTTGAGGTAGGCTCTCTATGTACTCGAGACTGGCCTTGAACTCTCCATCCTCCTGCTTCAGCC